TACTTATAGAACCACGAACTCAAATATATAATTTATTCTCTAATCCTTGTCCAATTCCATGGTCAAAACTCAAAAATGACATTTCTAGGTTTTTTTCCAAAATCCCATATTATTCACCTCAAATCAAGAGTTTACAAGCTTAAATTCATGCATATTCATGAAATATTATCAAAAGTATGTTAGAAATACTTACCGTCAATAGGTGGGTGAAATGTAATTTCAAAATCTCTTCAAAATCGGTTCCTATTGCTCCTAAATGAATATGAGAAGAAATCCCAAAATTCCAGCTTTTAAAGTCTGCCTAGGTACCATTCTTCACGATCGCGGAAGAAGCCTCGTAATCACGAAGGCCAAATCTGCCTCTCCTAAAATTCCCTCTCCGTTAACGCGAAGAGATCCACGCGAACATGACCTCTAGCCTGCCACGCCTACGCGAATGCGAGCCCAGCTCCGCGAATGTGAAGGCTTCACACTGAGCCTCCTTCCCTTCTTCGCGAACGTGAATTACATCTGCACCAGCTCCCTTCTCCCTCTTCGCGAACGCAACTACCATATTGTGAACACAAAGGGAAAATCACTCTAGCTCCAAAAAACACTTCGCGATCGCAAGACCTACTCTGCGATCGCGAAGCACACCAGATTAAGGAAAAACAGCCTTCACAACATGCTCCGGGTGGTTCAAAACTCACCCGAGCCACCCGAGACTCCGTCCAATCATACCAACAAGTCCATAAATATAATTCGGACCTACTACCTACTCGAGGTATCAAAACACGTAAAATAACATCACAACCAAGAATAGTACCCCAAACCAAACTAATAAACTTTTCAAAATTGTAACTTCTTTAAACTAATTCCGAACACGACCAATCATACTTTGATAAATTGGGATGAAATCCAATTTCACACACAAGTATAATATGACAACATAAACATGTCCCCATGCTCAAAATACCAAATGGAATCTAATATCATCGAAGTCAACTATTGGTCAAACTTAAGATCTCTCCAAACCTTCAAATTGTCAACTTTCGGTAAATAGAGTCAAAACCTTCTAGGAACATCCAAATTTAAATCCGAACATACACCCAAATTCAAAATCACTATACGAATCTATTGGAACCTTCAAATTCCGATTCCAAGGTCATTTACATAAAAGTCAAACTTGGTCAACTCTTCCAACTTAAAACTTCCAAATTGAGAATCACTCTTTCAAATCAATCCCGAATCTTTCGAACATCAAAATCAACCATACATGCAAGTCATAATGCATCACATAAAGCTACTGAAAGTCTCAAACCACCAAACGAAAATGCTAAAGCTCAAAATGACCGATTGGATTGTTACAGTGGTAGAAACTTCTTTTTGTATATTTTTGACGAGATTTTATAGAAAAAGAGGTTGTTCACTTTGCAGGATTTGTTGGAGGCTTCTAAAAAAGCATAATTTTATACATGTTCTGAGACCATTATATAACCTATTTGAAGCAAGGAAGGAAAGAAATTAGTATAGGCTCGGGAGTTAAGCAGAGTTGGAAAAAGAAACGCCCCTATAATGTACATTTCAACTATTCTCTTAGTCATATTCTATAGCTAAGCCAAGATTAGTTTTAAAAATAATAAGAAGTCAAGCTTGGTGACGAAGGATTGATAAAAATTTATTCAAATTCAGGTAGTGGTTGTTCCTATTCAAATATATAGGATGTTTTGTATAACTCATCAAACTTCAGGTTAACAAAGAAGGATAAAAGAAAATCAATTTGAAGTTGGTGATTATCAATCCATCATACTAGTTTTTCTCAATCCCACCCAATAAGCCACCTTGCAATTACGAAGACTATGGAAAATTATGATAAAACTTGGTAACTTCGTACAAAGCACGAACATAGTGTTGCGATAGATCGTGAATTAAATAGCATACAATCACACATAAAGTAAATAGAGAAAAAAATAACACAAGGATTTAACGAGGTTCAACTATGCCTAATCCTCGGGGCAAAAGCAGAGAGAGTTTTTCACTATAAATGAGAATTAAAGCACAATACAATCTGTAGAATCCCCAACTACAACCCTATATATAGATAAATGAAAGGTTTTCCCAATCCGACAAGGACAATAGTTTTTCCTTTTCCAAATCTTTTAGAACAACGAGTTTCCCAAACCTATAGGGATTATCAGTTTCCTAAAAATACAAGAAAATAATTCAAGCCACAAATAACAAATCTTCCCATTGTCTTGAATTCTCTTCATCAATATGAACAATATTTCTTTACCTTGCCCTCAGCCCTCGTAAGGGCTCTACCCATTGCCGCACACATCAACCAAATCTAAGCAATGCTTAAACTTGGTAAGAGACTCAAGCTCTTCAGCCATAACATTGATCCGTCGATTTGGTCCTGTACTCGAAATAACTTCTAAATAACTATTACACTCAAGCAGTACAACGGTCTCTACAACTGCCAAAACAAATCCCATAGGATTTGTATATCCAAGAAGATTTCCGCCAACTACGTTTACAAACTTTTGCAGTCGGTTGATCACTCTCTTCTCTGTACCTGTTGTAATACTATATTGTTGTTGTTGCCCAGGTGCATCAACATCATCATCTTGATCAATATTTTACACCTCCTCTACTTTTTCTACTTTAGAACTACTTGGCTGGGCTAGTGGAGATTCAATTTCTAGCTCTATGCGATCATTCACAGCGCGATCTATTTCTGCTATTGCCTTCCCTCTCTAACTGTCCAGTGAAGCAGATTCATTTAACATCACATCCCTATTGATAACTAACCCTAGATTCTTTTGATCTGTGCACACAACCTATAACCTTTTACTCCAGTTGCATACCCTAGAAATATGCACGTATTTGCCTTCGGCTCAAGTTTTTCATCCCTCACATGAGCATAAGCAGGATACCCAAATATCCTCAAATTTGAATAATCAGCAAGCAAATCAGACCATACCTCAAAAGGAGTATTGAACTCAATAGTTGTAAATGAAAATCTGCTGACCAAATAACAAGTTGTATTGATTGCTTCAGCCCAATAATCCTTGCTAATACATGAATGTGAAAGCATGCTTCATGCCCTATTACAAAGCGTTCTGTTCATATGTTCTGCAATACCATTTTGTTGTAGTGTTCTGGCACAAGCACAATGTCTCACTATACCCTCTCTGCTGCAGAAATCATTAAACTCAAAATTTTTAAATTCCAACCCATTGTCAGTCCAAAGACCTTTATTTTTTCTTTCCATCTGTCTTTCAAACATCGTCTTCCACTTAACAAATATCGAAATTGTCTCATCTTTTGTTTTTAGAAAATACACTCATACCATTCTTGAGTAATCATCAATAAAATTCATAAAATAGCTGGCACAACTTTTGGAGGAAACTCTATTTGGACCCTACAAATCTGAACGTATATAATCTAACTTGTCTCTAGTCTTGTGCTCTGCCTTCGTACTCAATTTCACCCTTGTCTATTTACCAATCACACAATGCTCACAAATATTTCAATTTTAATTTTTGTACCCATGCAGCAAATTCTACTTACTCAACAAAGACAATCCCTTGTCACTCATATGACCAAGCTGCAAGTGTCAAAACTAAGACCGATTCAGATCACGTTTTTCCATAAGCTACAACAGCTTCTCTTTCAACTACACTGGCCTATAGATGATACAATTTAGAATACAATTTACCCTTCATGAGTACCATGGAATCTTTATACACTTTAAGTATTTTGTTCTCGAAGTGAACCTTATACCCTTGATTATACAAAGTCGAAAGGGAAATTAAATTTCTCTTTATCCGAGAAACATGCCAACAATAAATGTTTATGATAATTTCATTAAATATTCTGAATCTGATGTTACCAATCCCCTCTACCGGTAATGGATTATCATCTCCCATATAAACAGTCTCACTCATCTACTTGTAAGTTGCAAACCGATTCTTGTATGGACTCATATGAACAATAGCACCAGAATCAAGAACCTAGAAATTCTGGCCATGACTAGAAATTACGGTACAAACTTCCCCTGCATAGTCACTATCATCAGAATTATTGCGAGTGTCAATAATATTTGTAGAACTATCTATTTTCTGCTTCCATATTTTCTCTTTCATCTTAGGACAATCTCTCTTGTAGTGATCTTACTCTCTTCACTCATAACAGTTATGCTTTCTTGCTCTAGACTTCCATCTAGCTGTTGACTTTTTCTATTAAAGTCTTTCTCTTGTATTCTTCCTCTACTCACAAAACCTTTACCCTCAGATCTACTTTCTGGAAAGCTCTTTTTTAACTTATTAGATTTTAGTGTATTACTAAAATCTTTATGTAAAATATTGTCTTTCCCATATAGCAACATATTTGCAAAAGTATCGTAAAATAGTGGTAAAGAACATGACACAATCAAGGCCCGATCCTCACTATCAATTTTGATATATGTATTCTTCAAGTCCAGTATAATTGAATTAACTCATCAAGATGAGTTTTAACAGGTGTACCTTCGTCATACAGAGATTGTATAACTTTTTCTTCAGGTAGAGGCGGTATGTCAGCAATTTTTTAGAATATAGATCTTCCAGCTTCTTCAAAGCCGTTGCTGCAGAAGTTTCTTCAGTAATTTCCCGAAGAACGCTCTCTATAACGCTCATGAAGATCGCAATCAAAGCACTTTCCTTCAGATCTGCCTTCTTTGTCTCTTTCATCTCTTCAGAGAAATTCTCATCAATTGTCTTCCATAACCCTTGTAATACCAGGGACGATTTCATCCTAATCTTCCATTGACTGAAATTAGAACCCCCACGAATTTCTGTACTTCGTACTTTATTAAAGATGATGAAGATATATTAACTCTAGATTGTATGTAGAAACCCGTACCTTCCTCTGATACTAATTGTTGCGAAAAATCATGAGTTAACTAGCACACTCATACAAAACCAATAGAGAAAAAAATATAATACAAGGATTTAACAAGGTTCGGATAAGTCTAATCCTCGGGGCAAAAATAGAGAGAGTTTTCCACTATGAATGATAAGAAAAGTACAATACAATTTGTAAAATCTCTAACTACCACCCCTATATATAGATTCCAAATAGTCTCAAACCTATAAGAGAAAGTTTTCCTCAATCTGACAAGGACAATAAGTTTTCATTTCCCAAATCTATTAGAACAATGGATTTCCTAAACCTGTAGGAATTGTGAATTTTCTAAAAATACAAAGAAATAATTCAAGCCACAAATAACACATAATAACTAGTACCTAAAAAACCGATTAAAAAATAAACGGCGTTATTAGGAAAAGAACCAGGCTTGAAGAAACCCAAGAACCTTTTTGTCTTCTAAATACAAAGTTAGTTCAAGATCTACATCACAAAGTTGTTGGTCACTTTGTTGACCAAATGTTTCCCATAAACTGCACCTTCAAACTTCTTCATGCCACCCGTGTCCCGTACAGACACATCTAGCAGTTCTGCTGCAGCATCAAAGTTGGGCTATAGGAGAAATGAAACATGCATCATTAGAAACTAACATAAAGCCATACCATCGTTCTGTTAATTTAATTATCAAAATAAAAACAAAGACTTTAACCTCATAAAAATAGGCCACGCAAGCACGATATTTGCTAGTGTTATTAATGACCCTATGAACTGTGAATTCATATTTCCCATTGGATAAAATCTGCCAATAACCAATAGAGATGAATAACTTAATCAGAGGTGTAAAAATAATAAAAACGTTCAAAGTAAATTGCATACCTTTAACATGTCTCCAATATTACAGATAAAGGTTCCTTTAACTGGTGTTGCAGCTATCAAATCACCAGATTTGTTCTTCACCTTAAAACAATTCAGAATGATTAGTAGTGAAACAAAACCAGCAATATGTTTCATCAAAGATTCAGCCCAATAAATCAGGACTTGGAAGCTAATCTTCCTCGGTAGCTATCAAAGAAAGGAACAAAATGGGGAAAAGGAATATAATTGTACCTCAAGGGCAACTACGTCATCATCTTGGTTGAGTAATGATAGAAATCCTGTAAGACGAGAGAAAAAAATCATGATTGCCAATCAATAAGTGGAAGGAGACATCCTTGAAAAGATAAGAAGTTTTACCGTAATCAGTATGAGCTCCACTGAGAATTATTTGATTCCAAATAGATGGACAACACATAAAACAAAAGATATCACTTATTAGAAAACAGGGGGGAAAAGGAACTCGATGAACAATACCATAACTTACAATCCAATTATCCTTTTTTTTCAGTAGCTTACCATCCAATTGTATTGCCATCGTTGTCTTGTCCAACTAACAATGGTGGATGAGGGTAACAAATTGTTCTTAAGACCCAAAGCGGGTCGCCGCTTATTTCGCCCTCCATTTCATCGATTGATCCACCCAACGCTAGAGCAATACCCTTTATTATCTTACGGGATATATCTCCCAAAAGTATTATACAAAAGTTCATCACTTCTTGTGAGTTCCAGTGTAGCAATACCTTATAGACACTGCAACTATGTCAAAAGATCATGTATATAAAGCTTCATCAACTGTTTGAAATGTGGAGGGCTACTTGACCTGCATAACAAATATTGTACCAAGGTCAAACAAAACGAAGAAACACCAAAACTCAAAGTCATCATTTAGTAGTCAATAGTATAAAACAAAGGGACGGAATACATTTCAAGTAGCTCATTTACCTACCATAAGTTGGGACNATATATATATATATATATATATATATATATATATATATATATATATATATATATATATATCGTATTTAAACATTCAAGGTGTAATAACAAGCTTATGGGGTGAGAAATTAGACTTAAGATTGACTTTGATCCTGTAACGACCCGACCGGTCGTTTTGAGTATTACAATCTCATTTCCCCATTTACTTCTCAAATTGTACTTTACAGTTGTTGTGTGAATTGCCGGGGTAATTGGTTCGGGTCCAGTGAGGTTTTGGAAGGAATTGGAACACTTAGTTCTAAGGTTTAAACTTAAGTTAAAATAGTGACCGGATGCGGACTTATGGGTAAACGATCTCGGATTCGAGTTTTGAAGATTCCAATAGCTCCGTATGGTAATTTTGGACTTAGGAGCGTGTCCGGAAAATTATTTGGAAGTCCGTTGTGGAATTAGGTTTGAAATGCCGAAAGATGAATTTTTGGGGAAGTTTGACATCGAGGTCGGAATCCGATTCTGGAAATTGGAATAGGTCCGTAATGTGAAATGTGACTTGTGTGCAAAATTTTATGTCATTCCGGATTGATTTGATGTGTTTCGGCATGAGATGTAGAATTTGAAAGTTCAAAGTTCGTTGATTTTGAATTGAGGTGTAATTCGTTGTTTCGATATTGTTAGGTGCGATTTGAGGCCTTGAGTAGGTTCGTGTTATGTTATGGGACTTGTTGGTATGTTTGGACTGGGTCCCGAGGGGCTCGGGCGAGTTTCGGATGGCCAACGGATCAATTCAGACTTAGGAGAAAAAGCTGAAGTTTCCGCTATCTGATGCAATCGCACCTGCGAAATTTTCATCGCAGGTGCGAGCTTGCAGAAGCGAGCCTGGCAAGCGCAGATGCAGTCAGGGACCGTGAGGCATTGGTCTTAAGTGCGAGGGGAATTCCGTACCTGCGTGAGCGCAAATGCGGAAGGTTCGCGCAGAAGCGAGATGGCTGGAAGCTGATGATTTTCGCATCTGCGATGTCTTTCCCGCAGATGCGGCCTCGCAAATGCGAGGGTTTCCTCGCAGATGCGCAAACTGGACAGGCAAGTGAAGTCCGTAAATGCGATATTTTGCTCGCACAAGCGGAGGCGCAGGTGCGCAAATACCCTCCGCAGGTGCGAAAGTGCTGGGCAGAATCCTTTAAGTTCGAGGGTTCGACATTTTCACCCATTTTTGGATTTTGGAGCTCGGGTTTAGCGATTTTGGAGAGGAAACTTTCCACACAACTTGGGATAAGTGTTCTTAACTCCCATGTGATTATATTCCATGAATTAATCTTTATTTTCGGTGTAAGATTATTGAATCTTCAAGAGAAATAGAAAGAAATTTCTATAATGTCACAAAATAAAATTTTCAAGTTTGAATACCGATTTGGTGTCGAATTTGAGTGAAATTAGTATGGTTGAACATGTAATTCGATGGGTTGTCGTATTTTGTGAGTTTCGTCGGATTTCGAGACGTGGGCCCCACAGGTAATTTTGGGGCGTAATTTTGGATTTCGTGAAAAAATATTAGCATTTTGATATGGAAATAATTTCTATAAATTGTGTGGACTGAATCAAATTAATTATGGTAGATTCGAGCCGTTCGGGAGTTGATACGCACAGAATGGAATTTTTGGAGCATTTCTTAGCTTGTTCGACATTGGATTTGGCTTGTTCGAGGTAAGTATCTCTTCTAATCTTGGAGTTGAGGGTATGTACCCTGAATATATGTATTTCATGAATTGTTGGGAGGTAACGCACATGCTAGATGATGTGCATGTGGGCGTGCACTATAGAAATTGTGACATAATTATTTCTGTGAAATTTGTAGTTAAATAATCGTGGCATTTTCCATACAGTTTTATGAGTTAAAGATATTGAGCTGAAAAGCATATTAAAAATCATGTCGAGGCTATGTGCAGTATTATTGGGACCCCCGGAGGTCATATTGTTGTGAATTATTTATTTAAATTGAAAATTCATGCTCTGTCATATTCATTTCATTGCATATCATATCTCAGTCTCTTTTGTTATTTATTGATGCATCATATCATCATTTCTGGGCTATTCTCATGACATTGTGAACTCATGAGAGAGAGACTGGAGAGATTAATGACTGAGGGAGGCCGAGGGCCTGATTGTGAGGATATTTTGGGATCGGGTTGCAGGCCGCAGCAGGCCATGTTGGCTTTATATATATTATTACTATTATATGGATATGGGCTGCCCGCCTATAGCAGGCCTTATTGGCTTATTATGGCACGTGAGTTGTCTGTGCGGATTCTGATATGATATTATAGCACGTGAGTTGTCCGTGCAGCACGTGAGTTGTCCGTGCAAATTATAGCGCTTGGGCTGTTGGAGCCCCTCGGGAGTCTGTACATCCCTAGTGAGTGCAGGTACCTACTAAGTGCGAGTGTCGAGTGTCGAGTGTCGAGTGCCGAGTACCGAGTGCTGAGTGACTAGGAGGCATGAGTGATTGTGAGGTATACCCGAGTGGCAAGAGTGAT